TTCAGTGTAAAGCAGCAAAATATTTTACAGAATTCAAGATTTTAGGATTGTTAACTTGTGAACTTCACTATGGGAAATGTTTGGGGCTGATTAATAGTGATTCCTGGATTCTTTACAAGTTTAGATTTTATTTCTTGAGAAATGAGGGCAACCTGTGTTCCTGACAGATTGGTAGTATGATCATTCTGGCACATTGGTAGGAGAGAGATAGGAACAGCAGTGAGAGTGTCTGAGAACTGGAGAGAGAGAGAGAAAGAGAGGTTTCAGAACAGTGGCTAAGGGATAGCCAGTAAAGGAGGTTTTCTCAGGAAGCACAGGGTACTTGGCATCAAGATCTGAGGGCACCTGAGCCAAGGTAGAGAGAGAAGGCTGAGCCCAAAGAGTCAAGCCTGGGCTGGGAACTTAGCTCAGTGGTTCTACCACCCACTTCACAAGCGCAAGTTCCCAAGTTTGATCCCTGATACCAAAAACAAAAACAAAAAAACCAAAGAGTCAGGCCTAACAGCTGAGGGCAGACAGCAGGTCCTGTCACCATGTTACAGTGTAAAACCAGCATCAGGTATTTGTGGTGATGTTGTTTTCATAATCAAAGACAAATTTCTGAGCTGCTAAAAGTAAATATATGATATATGGGCACTTTTCCATGCCCACAAATGTACTGACTCATAATTCTGCATGCTGGGAAGACCAAGATCAGAGTGCAACATAGTACAAAAGATTTCTTGCTGTGTCACTACTTGGTGGGGGGCAAGAGGACTTGGGGATAGAGGGGGAGATAAACTTGCTCTTTTATAATATGGTCAATTCTTAGCCAGGCATGGTGGCACACGCCTGTAATCCCAGCACTCGGGAAGCTGAGGCAGGAGAATTACTGCGAGTTCGAGACCAGCCTGGGCTACAAAGTGAGTTCCAGGTCAGTCTCAACTACATACTGAGACCCTGTCTCAAAAACAAACAAAAAACCCCCAAATAATATGGTCAGCTCTTGTTTATGCCAAAGCCCTCTTGTCCTATCACCTATTAAGTCCCTCCTAGTACTCTCACCATGCCTCAGTTTCTACACTAGTTTTGGAGGGGACAAAGAGTCAAACCATAGGAATAATTAAGGATGTCAATGGTCTTGGTAGGTTGGAAAGGCCTGTAGGATTTTCAGATGGAGCTTTCTACAGAAAGCCCAGAATTAAGGATGAGGGAGATGTTACGGTAGAGTGGACCAAAGTGTGTCCATAGTCTACTGCCTCAGGCTTCTGAGGGCTGAGATTACAGTAGTAGGTGTTCACTACCATGCATAACTTAGTTTTCTGTTTTAAGGAACAAATTAACATATAATTGTTGACTGGAAAATTTAAATAAATAAAATCTATTTATTATCAGATAGTTTCTATAGAGCAAAACCTGGACACAGCTAAATTGGTTTCTCTGACTCTGCTGGCAAGCTGGGGCTGGCCTACATGTCTCTCTAGATATTGAAGCCTCTTGCAGGCTCATGTTGGCAGAACTCAGTTCCCTGTTTGTGGAAAGGAGGCCACCACCTTCTTAAGGCTGTGGCAGGGAATATGTGCAACTTGGCTCCCTCCACATACTGCCAATCTCCTGGCACCCCTCCAGTGTCCCTTCAGTCACAATGCAATCTAAGACAATGTACCATGGTGGTAGTCATGGCTTCCCATCACCCTTTGCTATGTAACAACCTAATCCAGGGAATGACTATTCTGTTATATCCCAAGGCTCCATCTCCACTTACTGGAAGGGATTGCTCACAGAATGCACATGGAGACCTGGAATCTTGAGAGTTATAAAATGGCCTAGGAATCAGTCAACTGTATCTCTTCTTATAAGAGCACTGAACCCAAATCAAACTTCCCAAGTTTAAAAACCCAATCCAAAAATGGGCATCTGAAATGAACAGACATTTTTCAGACAAAGAATTAGAAATAGCAAATAAGCATATGAAAAACTGTTCAATATCATTGGTCATTTGAGAGATGTAGATGAAAACAACACTGAGATTCCACCTCATCCCACAAAGAATGGCTGCTGTCAAGAAATCAACCAATAACAAATGATGGAAGGGCTGTGGAGGAAGAGGAACACTTCTCCAATATTGGTGGGTGTGCAGACCGGTGCGTGCAACCACTGTGGAAATCAATATGGAGATACTCAAAGAGCTAAGACTAGAAGTCCCATTTGACCCAGGTATTCTCCTTCTGGGTGTCTTCCCAAAAGAATCATACTACCAGTGGTAAATAAAACTTAATGTATACCTAAACAGTACCAATGAACTCAATGAAAAAAAATAAAAACTTAGGCTTAAAAATTTTTATAATGAAATATTATTGGTTTAATCATTTTCTTAAAACTCAAATAAATTTTAGAAGTCGATAATGTTTGCAATTATACTTATATAGGGTTTGTTAAATTATATTAGATCTTTCAATTCTTATAATAATTTTATAATAAATATTAATAATTAGGCAATTCTCTGGTATGAGAATCTGAAAGTGCAAATAAAGATCAAAATGTATAACACATAATGTGAAATAGGAAGAAAAGGTCCAAAGGGAAGGGGAGGTGGCAGGGTTCAGGGAAAGAAATACATATGAAAAAGCAAAAAATGGAAAGAAAGTCTTTGTAAATAGGGAGGGGTGGAGGAGTTGAAAGGAGGGCAGGGAAATGGGGAAAAAATAAGAACTATGATGTATTATATAAAGGCACAAATTCCCAATAATGAATGTCAGAATATTGTATACCTCATATGTACCAATAAAATTAATGAATGGAAAAAAAGAAAGAGCACTGATCCCATGGAAAGGGTTACTTCCCAAAGCCTGACTCCAGATATTATTACATAAGAAGGTAGGAAAGAATTTAGACCAGATACATACTTTGGGTGCATCACATACACGTGACACTAGAATTCATGAGGAAAACTTTGGTGTCAAGTTCATATAAATTATCAGTAAAGGGGCCAGGATTTAGCTCAGAGGTTCGGTGGCCTGCCTTGCAAGCAGAAGGACCCGAGTTCAATCCCAGGTAGCATAAATAAATAAATATTCAGTAAAGAAAATAATTAACAGAAACTTGACTATCCTGCTTTCCTTTAAGAATTTCAAGTAAACATTTAGTAAAACAAATGTTGCCATTGGACAGATTGTTCAAATAGTTTACAGGATCACATTTATGTATAAATTGTATATTCTAGTTTATAAATTATTGATAGGTCTTTCTTAAATGAGTATTTCTACAAAAAATAGCAGACTGGGCTTTTCTGTGATAGCAGAGGTGTGGTTTGTAGGTGTTGCAACCAATGAAGGATTCTAGGAGTAAAAGAGGCTGAAAAGGACAGGAAGAAAATATGCATGGTGTTTGAGGATATATTCCTTTGATTATCTCATTTTTCATGGAATTGGAGGCTGGTTTCAATAATTTCATCAACTCAGGCTTTCATAATATCATTAAATAAATTTGAGTCAGAGAAAATTTTCCAAATTTTGGTTAAAAGCAATATAGTAAAAAAGGAAATAATATACCTACCAGGAAAAATATTTGTTAACATATATGACTAGCAAAGAACTATTATGTGTAAAATCCAAGTGCTTTCTTATTTATTAAAGAAGACTAACAAACTGATACAAAGAAATGGCTTTCTTGGCCCACTGTGGAAATTTCAGTCCATACCTGGCTGGCTCCATTGCTTTGGAGACTTTGGTGAGGCAGCACTTCAGGGTAGCATGAGTAGAGCAAAGCTATTTACCTCATGGCCAAGAATGAAAGGAGAGAGACAGGACTGGAATACCAGAACTCCCTTCAGGGTGTGACGCAAAACCTCCCACCAGATACTGCTTCTTAAAATTTCATCACCTCCTGGTAATGCCACTCAGGAGACAAAGTCTTTGATACACAGACCTTCTGTGACATTCCAGATTCAAACAATATACACTGAACAGTTTTGAAGAAGTGCTATTATCTATCTTCAGCTTACAGGCAAGGAAACTAAGGCAAAAGACAGTTTAAAAATACATCTAAATTCACACAGTGAGTAAGGAAAGCAGTCTGTCTGATAACTAAAGGACAGGCTATAATTCCTGCCCTCGGCTGCATTTTGTAAGGGTAGAGATGTACCTTACTCATCACTGTTCCTGCTACACACCAGACCCAGTTTATTCCTGGAACAAAGAACCAGTCAGTGCTATTAGTACTGGGTGCAGCAGAAATGCCAAGCTGTGACTGTCAACTTCCCTAAAGTGAAGAGGAGAATGCTGGGTCCCACACGCTCCAAGGACCTGCAGCTCTGTCTGCTCAAATGCACTTGTCCCACACAACATGGGTTCAAGCTGGAGCTTAGTACAGACAGGAGACAAGGTGACAGTATGTGACTGTGGTGGCAAGGAGGATGAAAAGACTACTCAGAGTCAACACTTGGTCTGAACAGTGAGAAGCCCAGAGGAACTGACCCAAAGAGATTGTGAATGAGTCTCCGGGGTGTAGGAGACCAAATATTCATATTCTCAGAGTTGTTTTTGAGCCTAACATAACCGCCTCCATGTTTACATCTGAATCACCTCACTGGCACAGACGTGCCAATGACTGTACTAATGGCCTTGCTCATTTAATGACCTAATCTGTTACATAACAACTGTATCTCATCATAACTGTTACTGTACAATATGTTTCTCCTTTATCATTTTATGATTAGCCACTTCCTCTTACAAATTTGTGGTTTTTGCCTTTATATACTGCTTGTGCCTGCAAATAAACGAGACCTTGACAACTCTTTGCTTGGTCTCCTTCTCTCTGCGCCTCTCTTGTCCCATTTCCAGGTATCTCCTCTTCTCGAGCTCTGCTAATTACAAGCCCTGCTGGCCGGGGCAAGTGGCGCCCGAACGTGGGACTCGAGACACGGGGTCTTCACCTGATGGATGCTGCTCAGAAGATCGGCCGATCGACTCCAGGACCTCCGCCCAAACGGCGAGTTGGCTACTCATAGCGGTCCGCTCAGACCCACCCGTCTGAGAAAGCGACCTGCGAGGTAAGTGAGCAGCACAAAAATGGGACAACAGGTTAATAAACATGTAATTTTTGTTCAGGACTTAAAGTCCACCCTCAGGGCGCGGGGAGTTCAAATTAAAAAATTTTGTGGAAGAAACCTGCCCTTGGTTTCCCCTTGAAGGACTTGTTAATGAAAAACACTGGAACAGAGTCAAAGATTGTTTTGATGATTCCCTGACGAGGATTTCAGGGTAAAATCTAAGTTCTTTTTCTTTTGTATGGCGCCTATGTGTCTTGTCTGTGTCCTGTCTGTTAAGTGTTAACCCTACATTCATTCCTAGGAACAAGATGGGAGAATCAAGCTCCAAAAATACCCCATTGGATTGTTTTCTCATTAACTTTAAAATTGGGTTTTTTTCCCTGAGCAAAAGGATGATTACGGGGTTTAATTCTCTCATGGAAAGCTTCGCTCCCTGTGTCAACCCGACTCCCACTGGAGCAAGCGACTGTCTGCCTCCTCGGAAGGGAAGGATTTCCTGGGTTCCCTTTCTAGGACGCGGAGGCCAGCTCACCAGTAGTGAAACAAAAAGAAAATGAATGGATAAAATCCTCTGTCTAAATGGTGAGATTCCCTGGGTTGCTCCCTAGTTTGTAACCTCTTGTATAACTATCTGTGAAAGAGACTTACTTAGGAAAATAAATAAAACACTCCAGGCTTTAAGAGCCCCAAGGCCAACACTGTGTTATCAGCCTGATGCTGCCTGCAAGGGTCTGGAATCCAAAACAAAGCCAGAGAAACTGCAATTGTGTTTTACCAGACATCAAAAGAGATTTTACAAGGGAAATCAAGTTATAAAATTTTAACTATTTGATTTAAGTTTAATTGGTGTGCTTTAAACATTTCTTGTGCATTGCAAATTCTTGAATTGTGATTATAAGGTTAACTTGCTCTTTTCTGTACTTTGTTGATAAAAACTCAATGTTAATACTGTTCTATTGGCAGCCAGTCAAATTTAAATGTAACAAGGTTTATAGTAAATGATTTAACAGGAAAATATATATGTTTGCTTGTTGATTTCAAGTTTGTTATAAAAGGTTTACAATTATAGTCAAGAAGAGTACTCATTCCTTTAACCCTAATTCTACAAGAGATCTCTATTAATTTTGACCTGCAAAAATTTTGACTAGTCATAACAAAAAGATTTTATCTACAAGAACTTCACAAACACACGGAAACTAAATAACACTCTCCTGAACAACCATTGGGTCACAGAGGAAATTAAAGAAATTAGACAGTTTCTACAATTAAATGATAATGCCAATACAACATACAGGAATCTATGGGACACAAATGAAAGCAGTTCTACAAGGGGAATTCATAGCAGTAAGTGCCCATACTAGGAAAACAGAATGAGCTCAAATAAACAATCTAATGTTGAACCTCAAGCTCCTAGGAAAAGAAGAGCAAGACAAACCCAAAGCTCTTACAAAAAAGAAAATTAAAAAGATCAGAGCAGAAATCAATTCAATTGAGACTAAGAGAACTATACAGAAAAATCAATGAATCAAACAGTTGGCTCTTCAAAAGAATAAATAAAATTGACAGCCCCTTAGTCAACCTTATCAAAAAATGGAATGAAAAGGCTCAAATCCATACAATTAGGAATGAAAGGGGTGAAATCACAACAGGTCCAGCAGAAGTCCAGAGGAGCATTAATACATACTTCAAGAACCTATACTGTAATAAAATGGAAAACATAGAAGAAATGGGCAGATTCCTAGATACCTATGAATTACAGCCTCTCCAAATCAAGAACTCTTTGGCTTTCATTTAGAATATGAGAGGAAAAAAAAAACAGAAGAAAAGCAGTTTGAGCAAGGAACTGCCTCAAGTCTACACAGTATATTGGGGGAAGGGGAAATACAATGGCCACACACAACGTGTTTCACTAATCTGAATTTCTTGTTATTTTCCAACTGTGATGTGTTTATTAAAAGCCCACGTGATTTGGCCCTGCAATTTCCATCACAGTTTAATAATTCACTCTTCAGAGAGCCTGTGTACTTTTGCCGCACAGGTTTCTTCGTGACTTGAATCGTTCATTCCTCTGGGTAAGTCCCCCACAAGAGAATAACTGTAAATTACCTGAGTGAGTTGCAGGAGGAATAAGAATCCAGAAAGAAGAGTGATTAAAATTTGTATGCTAGGGACCGGGGATTTAGCTCAGTGCTTCTGCCACCTGCTTCACAAGCATAAGGTCCAGAGTTCAATCCCTGGTACAAAAAAAAAAATTACATGCTAGGAAATATTTGACAGTATAAACTCAAGATGTGACCTGAAATTGGCACATTGCAAACAAGGTCCAGATTTTAATCGCTTGTTCAGTGCCCTTTTAATTGTGAAATGTTATTGAATCATACATGGTGGTACAGTTCAAGGACGCCAGGTTCTGTGCCTATAATTGAGTAATATTTCTTCTTTGAAAAGTCCAGGAATGCTGACAGGGCAGAAATCTCAAACGTATCAGGCCAAGGGTACACAAGACTAATAGGGCAGTAGATTATACAGAGTTAAAGGGTCTTCCTGGTAAGACAGAAAAATAGAAGCGTCCTTCATGTGATTCTGTGAATAAGAAGGCAGTCAGGGGAGACTGCAGGCACCTGGAGAGCCAACTGGGGATAAGGCAAGGACTGAGTCATCACAGAGTTGGCTCCTGAAGTCAGAAACCAGTTTAAGCCTGAGCTACACAGGACTGGAATCTCACATTGGTGCCTTATTCTCACTTTTAGCAGTCCTCTGCACTCAGTAAAGTATTTCAAGCCACCCCCCCAAAAAAACAAAAAGCCTCCAACCTAGATTGTTGTATCCTGCAAAAATTATCTTTCAAAATTGAAGAGGAAATTAGATACTTCCACAACAAACAACACCTGAGAAACTTCATGAATACCAAACCAGCATTTCAATCAATTCTAAACAATATCCTAGAAAAAAACAATGTGGGTCAGAACTCCATAAGGCCCAACATAGTGAAGCCATCAGGCAAGGCAAGAAATTAAAGGGAAAGGGGCAAAAATAAATTCATTATTATTACCACTTTTCTGGTATACAAAATGTATTCATATTGTTTGACCATGCAGGTTTTCCAGCATATTGTTTATAACCTTTTGGTCCAGATATTCTCCCTTTTGCTCTGTTGCATATTCGGTGTACTCCCAAGCCTCCTCTAAATTTGTCACCCTTCCAAATTATCTATGGGCGTACTCCCCCCTTGGTTCCCCATATAGACATGGAATTAAAGGAGAAATTCTCTCATCTGAGGTTGCTTAAGTCTCTGAGAGCTTTACATGAAATACAGTCTCAACTACAAGACCAGGTTTGACTCCAAGGCCTTGGAACCATGGTAGAAGGGACCTTTTCCAATTGTCCTGTCTGTAATGTAGGTTTGTATCAATAGGATCTTCCTTTTTTTTTTTTTTTTTGGTCAGGAAATAGTGTATTTTGAAGATAACCATCAGAAACATGTTACAATAACATATTTATAATTCAGACCTTTGATGATAACCAATATAGACATTTTTAACAACATATTTAACAAGACATATCTTTTTATAAGGCTATGAAAATTATTTTGGTGGCTCCCATTAGTGAACAAAGATCAGAATAAATTCTCTGAGTAGCTGCTTCTTTATTTACCAACAGGAGCATATCCAAACTTAAAGGTTATATTTAATTATCTTTTAAGTTTTTTATTTGATCCTATAAAGCCTGTAGAAATCAACAATCTATTTGTATTTGACGTCATTTTGATCAAGAACATACAAACATCTTTGAACATTTAAGACAGACAAACATATGACACTTAAGACAGACAAACATATAAGACAGTTTTAACGAGTGCACTCAGATGGTTTTGGCCAATTGAATTATAAAATCTTTTTGTTATGACTAGTCAAAATTTTTGCAGGTCAAAATTAATAGAGATCTCTTGTAGAATTAGGGTTAAAGGAATGAGTACTCTTCTTGACTATAATTGTAAACCTTTTATAAAAAAACTTGAAATCAACAAGCAAACATATATATTTTCTTCTGTGTTTTCCATTTTATTACAGTATAGGTTCTTGAAGTATGTATTAATGCTCCTCTGGACTTCTGCTGGACCTGTTGTGATTTCACCCCTTTCATTCCTAATTGTATGGATTTGAGCCTTTTCATTCCATTTTTTGATATTTTCCTGTTAAATCGTTTACTATAAACCTTGTTACATTTAAATTTGACTGGCTGCCAATAGAACAGTATTAACATTGAGGCGCAGTCGCTTTCTCAGACGGGTGGGTCTGAGCGGACCGCTATGAGGCGCAGTCACTTTCTCAGACGATGATAAGGTTGACTAAGGGGCTGTCAATTTTATTTATTCTTTTGAAGAGCCAACTGTTTGATTCATTGATTTTTTTGTATAGTTCTCTTAGTCTCAATTGAATTGATTTCTGCTCTGATCTTTTTAATTTTCTTTTTTGTAAGAGCTTTGGGTTTGTCTTGCTCTTCTTTTCCTAGGAGCTTGAGGTTCAACATTAGATTGTTTATTTGAGCTCATTCTGTTTTCCTAGTATGGGCACTTACTGCTATGAATTCCCCTTGTAGAACTGCTTTCATTTGTGTCCCATAGATTCCTGTATGTTGTATTGGCATTATCATTTAATTGTAGAAACTGTCTAATTTCTTTAATTTCCTCTGTGACCCAATGGTTGTTCAGGAGAGTGTTATTTAGTTTCCGTGTGTTTGTGAAGTTCTTGTAGTTTCTTATGCTATTGATCTCCAGTTTAATTGCACTATGGTCTGACAATATACAGGGGATAACTTCAATTCCTTTGCTTTTACTTAAACATGTTCTATGAGGTAGCATGTGGTCTATTTTGGAGAATGACCTCTGGGCTGTGGAAAAGAGTGTGTGTTCTGATTTTGTGGGGTGGAACATTCTGTGGACATCTATTAAGTCCATTTGTTCAAAAGCATGGTTCAGTTCTAGTATTTTGTTTTTGATT